TTCCTCTTCAACCTTTTTTCCAATTCCTCCGGGTACAGTATCAGGAACTCCAACATGGTTGAAACATTTTCACTGTTGGGATTTTGATTGGGTTGTAAAATGCGATAAATATTATCAATAGGATCACCTTCCTGAATTGAAATGCTGGTTTGGAATACTTTAAAGTAAAGTGAAAATTCTTGTTTCTTTATAATAGAAATTCTGTAATCCACAACTTCCTTTAATCGCCATAATGTTTCTATAGACTCATATCCTAAATATATATATCTTGAATATTCTTCTTTAATTTTTATAACAGGAAGACTGTTGACTTTCTCAAAATATAATTTAAAGTTGTCTATATTCAACATGGGTTCGTTAATTTGCTGGGGAAAGCAGAAGTAATTTTCAATAACTCCTCGATGATTGCAAAAACTATTCCAACTTTCTTCACTTAGAGTTATAGAAAAACCATTTTTTCCACCGATTATAATTTTCGGTGAAAAGTCTTGATTACTTATACCAACAATAACAAATTTTGATGAAGATTTATTCAAAAAGAAAATTTTTGAATTTAAAAGATTTTCAAAAACTTTAGAAGACATGGTGAATGAACTAAATAATATTAAGTTCTCCTCTTACTTTAATATTCGAACCCCTACCAATTCATACCCCACCTATTCATATCGTCAACTCATGCGCATTGCTTATTCGAAACAATATTTTAAATGAAATTGATTATTGAAAGTGTAAATTTCCTGTTTGAAATTTATAATAAAAAAAGATAATTAAAATTGTAATATACAAAAATATAGTAAAAGTTAAAAAGAGATTAACGATATTAAAAATGTTATATCCATTATTTTTTTCATTAATAAATTTAGTATAGTTGAATGATTCATTTTGAAAATGTGTATATTTTAATTCGGTTCTTTCAATCCAATTAGTATCAAAAATGGTTTGGTTTGAATAATGATATAAAATTTTAAAAAACCTACTAACATTTTCTCCTTTGTTGATGGGATATATAAAACTAAGTGTATTATTATTGATTAAACCAACTTTCATAAATTGACAATTTTTATCAAGTGTAATGTTTGTTTCATTCGAAAAACATATTTCACATCGGGTTACAGTGGGGGGATAATGAACATAAATAACATTTTGAAATATGAAATAAAGGAGAATAAAATGTGTTTGAGGAGCCATTGAAACAAAGTAAATATTTTATTAAAAATTTTATTTATCTACAATTTACTTCCATTCAAGATGGTTACCAAATGATATTTGACAATATCTTTTTTATAGATGAATATAAATACTTATTAGCATAAGAAATATATGTTGAAAAAAGATGTAAATTAATGAATAATAATATCATCAAAATTATGCATTCCAAAGAATTATTATTAGATTTTTTGAATTTTTGTTTCTTATTTTTTTTGTTTTGACTTAACCATAGACATTCATTTAAATTACATAATGGAGAAATTTTGTGATGTTCTTCGATAGGACAGTCATCATAGGTCCACTCATAAATTTCAGTTCCACAATAGTAACATTTGCATACGTCACTATATGAAATATAATAAAAGCCTGCTCCTGCTAATACCTCAGGTTCCAATTTTCCATTCCAGTTTTTAAAAGTAGAAAGTCGATTTTCAAAGGTTTTATAAGTAACATCATCAATATCTTTATCAAAACTTTCCAAACACATCTTAAGAAGGATTAATAAGAAATGAAATATTGTCAAACATGTATTCTATAAGTAGGTATATTTTTCATTGAAAATGCATTAACTCATATAAAAGTATATTATTAATAAGTAATACAATGTAAATAGTATAGTAATACAATGTAAATAGTATAGTAATACAATGTAAATAGTATATAACCTAAAGTACATTATGTAAAAATATATTTTACTTATTTAACAAAATTATATGAGTCACTTCAAATAAGTTTTATGGTTTCAGTTTTTCGTTACTCGTTTTTATTTTGTGTTGTGTCTTGTGCATAGGTAAATAATTGTTTCTGTATGAATCTATGTGAACTATTTTGTGTAAAGTTTGATGTTTCACACCATTAAAGAGTTTTATGACAAATGTTAAAACTAAATAAAAAATATATTGTATTATTTAAAAAATATTGTAAAACTGAAATACATAAAAATATATTTGTTTCTGTATAAATCTACAACTAATATCTATAAATTATAACAAGTTTAAAACACTCATAAGTGGAATTATGAATTAAATTTAAATCATTCCAGAGTAGAATGCTATTTAATACATTATACTTTTAATAAGTACAACTTTTCATAATTGTGTAAAGTTTTATGGTAAATGTTAAAACTAAAATACATAAAAATATATTTGTTCCTGTATAAATCTATATATCTATAAAATATATTGTGTTTAAAACACACATTCAGGAATGATAATTAATACATTCTAATTTTAATAAGTACAACTTTTCATAATTGTGTAAAGTTTGATGTTTCACACCATTAAAGAGTTTTATGGTAAATGTTAAACTAAATAAAAAAATATATTGTATTATTTAAAAAATATATCGAGGTTTGGATTATCTGCATTCCACTGGTAAAATGAAATATCATGATGACCCCAAGCAAGTGTTTTAAAATCATGTGGAATTTGATATCTTTTATTATCTTCAGAATTCAATGCAATTTTATGTATTAATTCAGTAAAAATTGAATGTAGTCTAGAACGAAAAACACACATGGAGCAAAAAATTTTAGAATTATTTTCTACTACATCTTTATAATGAATAAAATCTAATTGGTTTTTAATAGCATGTTTTTTTATACCTTTGGCTTTCTTTAATAAACCATTTTCTGTTTTCACGCAATATGCTTTCGCCCCCGTACCATAAAAAGATTCAATGGGTTCACCAGCATATTCATCCTTAAATTTACCAACAACTGATTGTGTTATTGGCATCTCATGTATATTATTTGGTAAATAATTGGAGGTATCAAATTTATGAATATTCTTTTGCATATCATGATAAACATTATTTGTTGTAATTTCAAGAATAAAAGAATCAGTGTCTGTATACAGAAGAGAAACATTTTCTTTATACAAAGGTTTTAAAAAATTGTAATAGAAGTCATACATAACCGTTTTTGAAATATCTAATATGGAAAAGCCAACATATATTGGTTTGTTGTATGTAATCGATATTTTTTGCATTTGGATGGCTACCAAATTTTCAGAGAAAACAGTCAAATCTTTAAAATACGGCTTTGCAATGAGATTTTCAGCCCCATCTTTCCTTTTGTTTTTTTCCCATTCGGTAACAAGTCTTACATCAACTCTCCTATCCACATTTTCCATTGTTTTTCCATAAATACTATTGTTTGCTAATTTAAAGGTGTGACGATCAAATTCATTTTTAGACTCATTACGTAACTTTGTGTTTAAATCTATAAATTTTTTCAACCAAGCAGATTGAGAAAATTGTATCACTCTATGGATTTTAGTTAACTTAAGACCGTTTTGCAAACATTGTTTTAGTAGTTGGTAATGAATAACATATTTTGATTTATTGTACAAATTTGGAATTAATTTTGTAGATTTCGAATTAGGTGGTTTATAATTTTCTGGACAAAAAGGAAAATCATTGTGGCAGTCATGAAGGTGTTCAGGATATTCTAAATCAACTTCTAGAACATAACCTTTGCTAGATGTATTAGAAATTGAAAAAATATCTAGATTTTTTATTTCTTTTTCTGACAACCAAACAAAATCGCCTGTTGGCAGGTATTGGGACATTGCAAAACCGTATAAATTTGTTGCATCATAGTACATTATATATTTATTAGGTTTTGTTGAATCAAATTTTGATAGAAAAGGATTATTTGCCTCTGATTTCCGTGTTATGCATGAACTTACTCCACCACGAACGCTATTTTTGAAAAAATGTATCATATCTGGATCTATCAGTAATTCCAGTTCTATGCTTGTATAACGTAAACAAGATTCCCAAGATAACCCGGGAAAAGTATAAAAGTGTGCAGGGTCTAGTTTATAAGTAGACAAACATGTTTTTCGAAAATTTTCGAAAATATCAGCTAAAAGTAAAGTATCTGATAGCAAATAAATATCTGAATAATTTCCTATACTTTCACATTCGAAAAGATCCCAAACTTTAAGAGCTCTTTGGTATTCCTCGTCAGTAATATGTTCATCTGTTAAACTATTAAAAAACTGATCTTTTTTAGGTAAAGCAGTTTCCTCTAATTTTTCAAAACTGTCAATATAACTATATGGAAATACACCTTTTTGACGAATAAGTTTAAATTGTTCCTCATCTTCGAAAATCTTTTTTATTTCTTTACATTGTTCATCTTTTAGGGTATCTGAAAGTTTAGATAAAGAAAATGATAAGAATTGAAATGAGTCGATAAATCTAAGTGATAGATTCTTTTTTTTTAATTTCTTGTATGTCTATCAAAATAATTGTCTACATGAATATGTTTTTCAAAGGAAATATATTTTTCTTTATTTTGTGGAATTACTGATATTTGTTCTTTATTTAAACACAAATTCTTTAAAAATAGGTGGCTGTCGTAATTACGTAAGTTGTGCATTATAACTGGAATAAAATTAGGAATTTTATAGTTGATATTACACAAAGAGTGAGCTGGTCCTCTATAGTTGCCTGTTATGTGACAATGATCGGCAACTTTATCCCCTAAAAGTGGTTTATCACAAATATGACAGTTTTTAGCATTGTTATGTGTAGTTTGTTCTAATTCTGTTAGAGTATTCATTTTCTTAGGAGTCTTTAAAAATGTGTGATATAAATTTAACACATCTTGTTCTAGAGAATTTATAAAAACTTTTTCGCTATTCAAACCTTTATATTTTTCAAACTTAGAATAATCATCATCAAATGAACATTTGATATAATATGCAAAAGAGTATGGAATATGTTCAATTTTTTTTACAGTATATGATCTTCTACTTTTTCATTATTATTTAAAGGTTTTAAAATACATTCAAAGTCTGCATAAATCACAAAAGGAACTTCCATTTGTTTTTGATAATTTATAAATTTTAATATATTTTCATATGCTACATTTCCATATTTATCTTTAACTAGTTCTTTAGAAGGTAAATTAATTTTAACATGATCACAATCATAACTATTATGGTATTGTAATTTTTGTTCTGTGTCAAAATATTGCAAACATCCTTCACATAAATATTTTCTACCATTGTGTTTACTAAGTTGTTTAGAAATTAATTTAGAAAGATCGGAAATGTAGCAATAATGAAGATTTCCATCATCATCGTTTATCAATAATAAATTAACATGAATATTTTTTTAGCATTTGTGAAATGTAGAGACCAATTATTTCATATTCTTCATTATTAGAAATTTTATTATAATATTTTTCTAAACCATATACATTAATAGAAATATTGTTTTGATTTTCAAATTTTTTAATGTCTTTTAATGTTATTGGAAAATCAATACCTGCAGTGTTCAAAACCGTTGAATAATGTGGGTATGATGATGTGACAAAGTCCACACGTGTTGGAGTATGAAGAGCTGCCATGATACACCAAGCAAAGCAGTAGTCATCGTTATTTCTTATGTTAACTACAGCTTGACGTCGTACTATTTCAGGAGGGAGTTCAATAAATGATGATGCTCTCAAAGGATTGAATTTATTGATGTTAATTTCCAAATGAACAAAATTAAGTAAGATCCATCCTGAAACCAGAAATAAAATTAATTACATATATATTTTTAGATTAAAGTTACAACACTTACCAGAATCTTTTTCTGCGAACTGATCTGCCTTATTGTCAATAACTGTTGCAAATTCTTCAATCAAATCCTTTGTTTCAGGATTATTGCAAATTACTTTAAATGGAGTATTAAATGATTTTACATCATGATTATCAGTACTGGGATTATAATAATAGCCAAAAAGCTCCATATTACTTTTAATGCATTTATGTTTTTTTAATTGATCCTCAAATATCCGAAGGATCTTTTGTTCCAATGTTATAAAGTAATTTTTAACATTTACGATCATCTCCTCCACAGATAATCTGTATGTTATTATTCTTTCTTTGAATGCAGATTTAATAATTTGTACTCCTGGTTGTTGTAATATTTTAGAATTATTTTTATGTGCGTTTGATCGTAGATGACCAAACCATAAATTTTGTGATATTAACTCCTTGCATTCTTCACAATATTTCTCTATAAAGACAATTATTTTGTTAATTTCAAAAGGTTATAACATAAAATGAAAAAAATCTTACTTTTTTCTTCAGGTGTACACTTTGTCAACCATCTGTTTAGAAAGGAAGATTTGTTGCAGACACTCTTTAAATGCCGAGATAGGTTATCTTTACGAGTAAAGTTTTTTTTACAGGATGGACAAATAAACATCTTTCAATTTTATTCTGTAAAATAATTTTATGGTTTTATATTAAATTTTATTCTGTTATATGAAAGGTTAAATTTGGAAAAAAGAATGTATAAATATAATTTAATTAAAAAAAATAAATGAAAAAATGTAAATATTTAATTAAATGAATCCACTAACTTTAATAACAATTTTAATAACTTTAATAACAACTTTAATAACAAATCAATTTAAAACAAAAATTCTTTAACTATTCTTACACCTGCATAATAATAAGTCAAGTTTATACTAAAAAAATAATATAATAAACCTAAATATAGGAAAAACTTCGAATGTTTCTTTGAATGTGAAAATTTTTATAACAACTTATTTCTGGTAATTTTCGGACTTTCGATGTATCAAAAATGCTGTGATAGATACTCTTACTTCTTTTTCATAGCACCTAGCAAATTCAATTGCTGTGTGTGCTGAACACTCTAACAAATAAGTAATAACTATATCAAAGAAATGAATCATAGGTGCAATAGAAAGAAAAAAACAATAAAATACGCAAACTGAAACTATGGTACAACAATCGAAACAAAAAACTCAAAAACCCAGTGTGCATAAATTTCCTGCACTAAAACAAACATAAACAAAGCACAAAGTGTCCCAAATAATGAGCGGCAATTGGCGGGGATGAGAGAGGCCAGCGGGATGTACATTTTATATGTTTTATTTTATTTTTTTTTTATTTTATATAATTACATGAATTTTTTATATAGTTACATGAATTTTAAAACTTATTTTTAGTTCAATGCAAGTATTTTGTGTACCGCGCTTTTATTATCAGTTATGTATTTTTTTGAAAGAATCTTAAATTTTCTCTGCTGGTTAATTATACGTACGTTATATGGAATTACATTAAACAATTTAGGTGCAAAATAAAGTACTGTTCTCTGTACGTGAGATCTGTGAAAACATGGAACGCTGAGAGTTTTACTACTTACCGCTCTTGTGAGATAGTTATGATTTTGTACACTCCGTAATTCAGGTTTATTATAAAGGTACATCACAATAGAATGAGCATATAGACATCTCAAATCTAATACCTCAGCCTCTAAAAATAGATTTTCGGTTGGATATCCATTGTTCCTTTTTAAGATTATTTTTAGTATTTTTTTCTGGCAAACTTCAAGACTTTTTATAATGTTATTAAAGCTTGATCCCCTAACATATCAAAACATTGTTTTAAACGTTCTAGTTCTTCAGCATTTTCTTTATTAATTTGAGTTTTTTTGAATAAAATTTTGAATAAAATTTTGAAGCGCAAAACCTGAAGTTTTTGTTTTGGAATAAGGTTTAAGATATTTTCTTAATGTTTTAGTTTTTTAGTTATTATAAAAGATGGTTTTGGATATGAAATTTGATTTTGTGATGGTTTATTTTCTTCAGAACTAGAATTTTCGATAAACGGTGACAAAGGGGAAAATGCTGATGAAATAGGGGAAATGTTTCTATTATATTCAGGATTACTTTTTTGAGAAAAACAAATCAATTCTTCGTCATCAGAATCATTAATAGGTAGTTTAATTAAATTATTTTTTTAAATTATGTTTCGAACTAGAAGCAACACTATCATCAAAATTTTTATATGATTCCTTAGTCCATGTTAATGATTCATCATCTCATTTTAACACAGAATATTTTTCCTTGTTAGTTTCGTTTAATTTTTAAATTTAAAAAATCGTCCGTTATTACATCCTCACTGTTTTCAATTTCGTTTATAAATTTATTTAGTTCGTTATTTAAGTTGATGTCTTGTGTATTAATATCAAATTGTGTTAAGATTATGAAATTTTGTGTTAATATCAGTTGATTCTGTATTTAAAATAAGACGAGAATTGGAAAAATTTTTGAAGGTAATAAAAAAAACTAGCAATAAATTAATTTTTTGATTCATTTAAAAAATATTTACCTGTAAAAAAAATACTTACCTGATTCTGCAGAAAATTGATCTTTTGTCATGTGATTCCCGATTTTTACAAAATCTCTCTGTAAAAGAAAATATTTATAAGACTAAAATTGTAAAACAGTGAGAAAAAGTCTTACCCTTTTTTCAGCAGACTTTCCAAGCCATCAGTTGAAAAACTTGACTAGTTACAGGCTGCTCTCATATGATGTAATAGGTTATCTTTAAGACTAAAAGATTTAACACAAGATATATAATTGAACATGTTGGTACTTTAGTTCTATAAAAAATTCTATGTTACAACTCATTATGATGTTAATTTGATGAACTTTAATTTTACTCTAGTTACTATTGGTTGTGATTTTCTACTGTTCATGTATCCATGGTGAATTAAATTTAGACAGTCAGTTTTGTTAGTGTGTTTGTTGTCTGTTTTGCGGTTTATCTGTTTGTATATTTTTATTGTTGGTTATAATTTACTATTTATGTGAATTAAATTATTTAGATAGATAGTTTCGTTAGTGTGTTTGTTGTCTGTTTTGCGGTTTATCTGTTTGTTTATTTTTATTGTTGGTTATAATTTACTATTTATGTGAATTATATTTAGACAAACAGTTTTGTTAGTGTGTTTGTTGTCTGTTTTGCGGTTTATCTGTTTGTTGGTATATTTTGTCTATTTTAATTTTACTGCAGTTAATGTTTAGTTGTGTTTTTGTATTGTTTATTTGTCCATAGTGATTTACTGACTATTTTTATCTATCTTTTGTTAATCTATTTACCTGAGTGTTTTTATAATGCTATTTTAATATGAATAACGAGTTAAATTTGAAGAATATTATTTTATAAGTGTAAAAATATAATTAAGAACTCGACAAGTTTTTGAATAGAAAGTCTTAATTTTATTATATGAATATGTAAAACTATAACTTACCAAAACTATAGATATTAACTTTAACTGACTAATAGTTTTTAACTGACTAAACGTCTTTTGCAAGCCAAACCACACCTAAGAACCACACAAAGTAACTGGTCGGTCGAGATAATACGGAGATCGCAAGCCGGTTGTAGATCGTTGCCCCCGTTGACCCATGTCTTCGCTGTACTTGTTTTATTTTTTATATTAGTGAAGGGCAATGATTTGAAATATCGATAATATGTGGTTATATTTAATAATAATATATTAAACTGGTTGTGTTGTTGTTTTCTAATGTGTGTTTAGAATTAAATGAAATATTTTATCGATGGAAACATTGGATTGAATCTCTAGAACTTTTTTTAAATGATATTTATCTGTCAAATCAACAGAACTTTTACATAATGTGAAATAAAACTGCAAATATTTATAGTCACATTTATTTTAATCCCCTTTTTATACTTTGGACAAAGTAATATCTAATTATATCTTTTCGAAACTGCACTAAATATTTATAATGTAAACCACATAGTGGACACTTAGTTGTCATTTTTGAATCGTAACGTACATCATTCCATGTTAATATACAGTTTAAGCAAAAAAAGTGTGAACATGTATTTGGCACACAAGTTTCATAGCAATCAACCATGTCTTGACAAATAGCACAAAATAGTCGCTTAATTTCCTCTATATTTTCTCTTGTATATTGTTCGCAGGTTACAGATTCTTCTTCTCCTTCCCTAGGAGGAGATTGTAATACACTAAGTATAGATTGATGTTGAACAGTAAAACTGGTCTGTTGAGAGAGGGTTTGTAAATTATTTTCTTCGGTCATTCTGAACTAATACTTACTTTTGGATGTTTTACTATATATGATTGGATATTGATATAGTGGGGGTAGAAATAAGTGGGGATAAGAATATCTCTGTTTCTATATATCACCCTATCTTTCTTCCTTTTTGAAAAAAAGTAGGAATGAATCGACTTATTATATATGGATTGATATCGATAGTTATTATCTAAATAAATTTTTTAATATAATGAAATATCGAAAAGTAGCATATCGATATTTCTGTACGTCCCTATAAGCGAACAGTTCAATGCTGGCTACGACCGCTGTATCGGAGGAGGAGGAGGAGTATAATGAGGAGGAGGATCTCTCATATTCTATCTACTAAAAGTACATTTTGTATATCAGGTGCAACAACTGGCATAGGCTGGTTATTGACATCTATGACAAATACTTTATTTGATGTCCTGAACTCTGCACCCGTTTCTTCTGAGCTTTCTTCATTATTTTCAGCTTCACTGTTAACTCTAAAAATAAAAACAGAATAACACTATACAGAGTGGCCCATCGAAAACGTTCCGCAAGGCATAACGGCCAGAGTAATTTTTTTTTCAGAAAATTTAAAAACACGTCAATTTTGTTTGTGAGGGGGACAACTTTTGCCCTAAAAATGATTGCAAAATCTTCAACCCTCTAAGCGGGGGTGTCATCCCCCAATTTTTTTCAAATAGGAAGGGGAGTCAAGTCGTACCGCAATGAAAAGGGCTTTCTATTCTCTATACTTTCCCGTTTTGTTTTTGAAAATCGGTCGAGTCATTGAGAAAATATGAAGGATTGAAACTTGTTCCGTTATGAATAAAAAGAGGCAGAGGGAAAATCCTGTAGTAAATGAAGCTATGGAGGTATTCGTATTGGGCCAAGTTGCCATGGATAGTTCGCTGAGTACAAGAAAATTAGCCAATGAGACCGGCGTGAATCGTTCAAGTGTCCAAAGGATATTAAAAAAACACTAAAAACACGATATTAAAAAAGTTCCACCCGTACAAAATTCAGTTGGTACAAGAACTCAACAAAGACGATTTTGATCGTCGCTTGCAATTTTGTGAAACTATGAGTGAACGAGTGGCGAATGATAATAATTTCCTATTTAATGTGTGTTTTTCGCATGAGTGTACTTTCTTTTTGAACGGTGTAGTTAATCGGCACAACTGGTCGGTACTGGGCTGAGGGCAACCCCAGGGTTTTTCACGAGGTGCACACACAAAGCCCTCAGAAATTGAACGTATGGGCTGGTATTTTTATTTTATATTGAGAAGAACTTCAA